GAATTAATCTGAATACAATCGTTTAATATTAGGTTAGCAACTAAGTCATTGCTGATTTTAAAAAGCCACCTATCGACAAAATCCGCAATTATTCACTTACTAACCCAATATAGAATAATTTTATTTTATTATTTTAAATTAGATCGTACTGTAAAAATATATAATTAAGATGTTATAATAGATTAGGATATATTTTATAATATATAGTGAACAAGGGTTTAAATTAATCTTAAATGTAATGTCCAAGTTGTTTTAAATGTAACATGGACATCAATCTAATTTGTAAGTTCCCACGAACTATGCTTGAAATTGTGTCGAAGGACAAGGAAAGTTGTTGTCTGACTCGAAGAAAGTATACTAAAACGAATAAAGTAAAATGAGACAAGAGACGTTTGCATGATCGTGTAAGTAAGTAGGTAGAAATACAGGTATAAATAATATATATGCATGTGTGTATGTATGTTCACACGAAACGTTACCCATTTACGCACAGGTTGATATCGTTATATCTGAGCACAGGTAGAATCCAGGACCGGTTTCTAACCATCGGGGGGTCGCCCCCCTCACCCTGTGAGAAAGAGAGGAAAATTCAGAGACCTAAATAAATAAATGGAGATATCGAAATATCGATAGATCAATCGATTCTGTTATATTGACAGTAATATTATTCTCATGTTACCGCGTAATAGAAATACATGTATGAATTATTTATTATTAAGTCGTTTGGATAATAATTCATATATATACAGAGTGATCTGTAACTAGTGGTACAAGCGAAAAGGAGGTGAATCTACATGAAAAAATAAATCGAAAGTATAGAATAAAAATTTTTTGTTTGAGACTTTGTTTTCGAGAAAATCGACTGTAAATTTTCGTAAAGTACGCGTTGTACTTGATCATATCTCGTTATAACGGAACTACGAACTTTTCATATAAGAATAACTTATATACATAACTAGGTTATTTCCGAAAAGTTCTGAGGTTTTTTCCAAAAAGTGCGTAGTATATTTCTGAAAAGTCCGTAGGGTATTTATGAAAAGTTCTTAGGTTATTTCCGAAAAGTCCGCAGTGTATTTTCGAAAAGTTC